ATCTCCCTTGAAGTTATGTTAATAATTTATAATAGTATATAGTCTACACCTGACCTGTTTTATTATTTAAAGGTTTAATAAATTCTGCACCTTGTTGAGTTATTACATACAGGTAACTCAATACAGTTTACAATTAAAGAAATTTCACCTGGACAACCATCTTTATTGACACAATGTTTCTGACACTGATAGCATAGGTTTACAACATTCCAATATTCAATCAGATGTCTGTGAATTTGTGATTCTTGCAATATGAAAAACTAAGCACCTTTTGCTAAAATTATTATAAAACGCTTTGACATTGTAGGAAACACAGATGTCAATTGGAACAGTGCAAATCAAAGCTATTAATATCCCCGATTTATGTTAAAAAGTTTAACAAATCCCTTTACAATCACCTGACTCTACCTGTACTATGATATAAACCTGGTTAATTTACATAACAATACTTTACCTGTATAGAGTTATATTAATTTTGATAATGCTCAGCCATATTAAATAGTAAACATTGTCATCAACTTGTACTGTGTTAACAAAATAACTTATATCATGTCTGCTTCTAAATTCTGTTGGTGTTTTTGATTTTGACTTTTCTAACTGTGTATGAATATGTAGCTGTTTGTATTATTTATTTTGACTTATAGATTGTGTGTTGTATATATTGGATATATCTCACTTTCTGTGGTTTTATTTTACCAACAGGTTGTTTTGAAACAAGATTTAGTTTATTTCTACTTCAATGATTTTGATTGTGTTTTGGAGTTGGATGTTGTATTTTTTTCATATTTTATTGTGCCAAGAGATATTTTTTGTCTATTTTTAATAGTTTTGTCAAGTATTGGATCTTGATGAAGGACTGTGTTTTGGAAATATGAATATATGTCGTATGTTTTTGGTGATTGTTTGTTTACAAGAAGTCTGTTTTTGCCAATAATCCTGTTTTAAAACAGTCCTATAACATTAATTCATTCAGTAATATTTCCTAAAAAGATGATTAACCCAGATCTGTACAACAAAGAGAATATGGTCTCTCTCCCTAATACATGATTTACTTACTAAAGTGAAACATGGTAGAAGTATGTAGCGATTAAGGACTTGTTGATGGTTGTTAGATGTAAGACATCAAGTCTATATTAATAAGATAGCTGTATATTGTTAGTACAAATTAACAAATCAATCTGGTTAATTGTGTAATTTATTTGATGAAATTATCCCACAATACAAACATCTCTAATAGAAATAGGATGAAGATAATCAAATTATATTGAATAGTAATTTACTGGACAATGGTCAATATGAGATTTTATTGGCTTTCAATTAATCAATTTATGTCTAAAATAATTGCTATGTGAATTGTGAACTCTCTAAATGGTAACAGTTTAAGATTAGAGTGTTCCAAAAGATTTTTTGATTGTTGAATTCCAAAGTATTGGACATAATTGTCTTTAAAGTGATCAGTTGGTAAATATGTGGACTCTCTAAAAGGCGCCTTCTCACCATGGTGATCACTAGTTGTGTATGGTTGTGAATAAGAAGAGTGGTTAAATAAGTTTTGAACACAACTCTCATTCAACTGAGTATTTGCGTTCAGAATTCATGACCGCTTTCATCATTCGCAACCATACCGAACTAGTAATTGTTATGTGGACTCTCTAAAGGTACCCTTACACCATAGCAATCATCAGTTGTGTATAGAGGTCAATAAGAATAGCTGTTATAAGTTGTGAATACAACAGTTGCTTTCAGAACTCATGACCACTTTCACTATTTACAACATACACAACTGGTAATCATTATGATGTGAGGGAGGATGTAAAACTCTATTCATTTCATTTTATTTATGGTGTGAGGACCTCTTTAAGGGTGATTAAAGAATTATTATTAGATTAAGTTGTAATGACAGAGAAAATCTATGAATTCAGTGGATCTAACAAGGAAATTGTATTTTGAATGAACTAATCTTACATGTGGAAGTTTCAGTTTCAAAATGACAGTACACTTATTAATATATAGTAAGCAATATTACAGTTAAACAGTTGGTGACTGAAGAAAGAAACAAAGTTCTATATTTTACAAGGCTAACAACTTAGGTTCACAGTTAAGGATCCTTTCTACCAGCTGGTCATTGGCCAAACCTCTTGGCATTGATCTTTCCCGGATTATCCGTACCCATTTACATCTTGGTTGACTGGAATTAGGAATCAAGATGACTTATTCAAGGTCATTGAGATTTGAATACACAGCGACCACGTGCTTGACGTAACCAAACAAAGGACAGCATGTAAATAACCAACACTCTAACCGACTGTGCTATAGAACCTCACAATTTTAGTAGGAAATATATAGATTTTAATGGTTTTGAATTCAGTGGATATATTAAGGAAATTTCTAGCGTCCATAATATTATGGAAGAAGTAAGAAAGTGATGTTGTACTAGTATATTTCTAACATCAGTCCTGTGTTGACTATCACCTGTATAATATATAAATATAATAAATAATATTACATTTAAACAGTTAATATTGGAATTGTGACTGAAATAGAGAAAAAAAAATATTGATTTGAATGGAATGTAGAGAATGTGTCACTGTTATAGACTATATATTAGTAATACTACACCAGCTGGAATTACTACTAGCTTATCTTACTAGTCATTTCTAACTTACTCTTACTGTTAACATATTGTCTGTCAATGGATTATTAAATGATGTATTGATGATACACCTGATATATACCTCTGTCACAGTGTATGCACAGGACAGTATTTAGCTCTGTGGACATAATGATGTTATTTTATGTCACTTACCTGTTTTGTATGTTGCTCTGATAGGCTATATGAAGTAATTATTTGGCTGTTAATTTTGAAAAGTGTAAAAGAATAGTAATTAGTAATAGATTGTAGTTAGTCTAGTGTGAATCATATTTAACCTTATCTAAATTAACCTCATTAAGGACTGGTCACTGTTTTAATTAATTATTACTTCTTATTTTAATTATTTTTTATGTTTTACACTTGTTAATTAGTGTTATTTAATAATATTGTCACTACTTGTTCATCTTGTTTCGTGATGATTTCACAAGATTGTTAGTAATATCAGTGGTCAGTGAATTATTGGATGACTATTGGTGAAACTGTGTAGGTTTATGACAGTTCTTGCATATTCTTGTAGATTGTAGTGAGTTTACATCTATTTCAGTGTTTGATGATTTCTGATAGTTATTAGAGGTTTTTTCAATTCAAAGTTGGTGTAGCATTAATGATCATCGTTGGATTATTTGTGATAGTTCCTTTTGTTTTTAAGGTTTGATATTTTGGGACTAGACCTGAGTGAAAAAGTATGACAAGTAAAATAAGTCTGCTCATTAATTGAACAGTTCTGTTTTCTAAGTGGATATTGATGACAAAAAGCCTGAAATATTTGGTTAGCTTATTCTAAATGTAACGGAATGAGATCAAAAGAACGAGATTTCTGAAATTAAAAGAAAAGAATTTTTATAAAAAGTTAGAAAGTGTCAGAGTAATTAAATAAGACCTTGTAAAATCTTGAAATAGAAATATTTTCCATGACCTTGCTAGATGTTATATATTTGATTCAAGTTAGGGAGAAAATAGAAAATGAGATATTTATAATAAATGTGTGAAATTACAGTTAAAAATTGATAGTGAGATCAAAAGTGTTGGATATTTTTATATAAATTTCAAATAATTTAAATTGTTCGAGGCATTAGACATATTTTATCTATTGAAAATGATGAAACTAATGTTTGTAGTTTGAGGTGTGTGAAAGAAGTTTTCTCAGCGTTAGGACAACATTTAAGATTATAGGTTCTGTTGCATTCTTGAAACTCAATAAGTTTTTGGAAGACTTCATGATCTATTTCTGAAATTACAGGAACCACAAGAATCCAACTGGAAATTGGAAGTGTGAAAATAGATAACTTTATAATATTATTGTACCAATCATTGTATCAAGATATTGTATATGATATTACAGGGAGAATCATGTATTATAGAATGTTTAACATACCTATTGTATATATATATAGGAGTATTTCATTCATTAGTTTTTGACTGTGCTCAGTGAACAATATTTTTACTGTGAAATACTCAGTTATAAAAATTGGAATATACTCAATAATTGTAATTCTTCCTTATGATCAATAAACTTTTAACACTTCCTTATCTGAATAGAATACTAAACTGTGTTTTGGATTTTGGATTTGATTTAGAAGTTTGAATTTTTACTGAGTTTATATTTTATTGATATTACCAGTGTTAAAACCATAAATTAAACAGAGTTATAAATATTATGATACTCAATGTGCTAGTTGGATTATTAATAGTGAAATATATACTGATACTGCATGATTTAAATAACTTGTAATGTTGGATATTTTTACTTCTTGTGTCACACAAAAAGGTAAATTATAAACTCTTTATTTCAGGTGAAAATAAGATAAACTTTGTATTTATGATGTATATAATATGTATATTTTGTATTAATTCTATACTGGTATAAACATTGTAGACATGTTTAAGAGCTATATAAATCATTTGTTCACAGGTCATATCGACACAGCTTGATACGACACAATGATGATACCTGAAATGTAACGTGATTTTCCGGCGTTTGTGGAGATATTCTAGATCTTTGTGCACTCAATCTAATGATTGATCAGATTCTTCAAAATGTCACCAGTAGCTAGCAGTAACTGAACGTCCATTTTCTCAGATTCTACCAGGCCCCATGTGCTACAGGCTGTACACATTAAAGATCCCTTGACAGTTGGAAATCGAAAGAGCAGGTTAATACCGCTGGCAAATTTCCCTCATAGCACCCTGCATGGTGCTGTCTGTCTTCATCAGCCCACATGGTGCAGAAAAGTAGGATGTAAAACTCCATTCATAAAGGTCCATTGAAAACTCTCTTTATGTTCCAAGTCTAGATGATTTTCTATATATTACTATTCTAAAGTCTAATCTTTCTGTTTTTATTATTTCAGATTCGTTTGTAAACAGTCAAGAATGGACGATAAGTCGTTCGGTACCAGATATAAAGCTGGGCATTCTGGGAAGTGTAAACAGCGGCAAGTCAGCGTTAGTACATCGATATCTTACTGGTTCGTACATGCAAGAGGAATCACCTGAAGGTATGAATTTACTTTGAGATTTATTGTAGAATAGAATGAGGGAAATTTATTTCTCTAGTTTAATGAAACCAAGCAATCATGACAGTACATAAATATTATAATTTAATCTGAGATATTAACTTTCCTTGAAGAGAAAATAACTCATTTGCTGTCTCTCTGACTCTCAACGATTCAACTTTCAGTATTATTATTAAATTGCCTTGTAGGTGGCAGGTTTAAGAAAGAAGTAACATATGATGGAGGGAGTTATCTTCTCCTGATTCGAGATGAGGGAGGTTCCCCTGAGATGCAGGTAAAATACTTTAATTTTGTGTTAAACCAAGTTCCTATCTCCTAAGAACCCTTAATCTGATGGTTTCAACCAGAAAAGATCCATTTAGCTGAGTCTGTAATTCTGTAAGATCTGAAATGGTCAAAGAAAATTGTTCATTCAGAAACTTATAATTCCGACTGTCAGTTATGTGGATTGCAGGAACTGACTGAGGAAAATCTTCAGGTTGTTAAATTGTAACAATAAACCAATACCTTGAAGGTTTCAGATTGTACAAGATAAAGATCCATTGATAGTTGTAATATGAGTAATTTTATATCTGTAATCTTGCTCTTGATGTCCTACTGTTGTGCATGTCTTCAATTACCTAGATTGGCTCAGTGAGTTAGACGCTTGCTCACTAACTTGAAGGTCCAGAGTTCATTCCCGGCATAGGTCGAGATAATACCTTTTTCAACCCAGTTTCCCCCTGTCAGTGATGCAGGTACGAGGGGCTGACATGGAAAAAGCGTCTAGTCGTTCGGATGGGACAATAAATCGAGGCCCCCGTGTGCTAAAGGCTGTGCACATTAAAGATCCCTTGACAGTTGGAAATCGAAAAAGAGCAGGCTAATGCCGCTGTCCTGGCAAAATATCCCTCATTGTACCCTGCCTGGCGTTGCCCGTCTTCATTAGCCCACATGGTGTAGAAAAGTAGGACATAAAACTCATTTCTCATTGAAACTTCATTTCATTTCAATTGCCTAGAAAAGAATGGATGAATAGGATGTAAAACTCCATTTTATTTCTCTTATTTATATTTTCAGTTTGTCCACTGGGTTGATGCTGTGGTGTTTGTATTTAGTCTAGAGAATGAGATGAGTTTTCAGGCAGTATATAGTTACTATGCCAAGATGGCTCACTATCGTAATGCAGCTGAAATACCACTAATATTAGTTGGTACTCAAGGTAAGGGTTATTGATATTGTTTGAGCTGGGTGATATTGGATCTAGTGGTTTTTAATGCTGGTACAATATTTCAGTGAATCTATATATTGTGACACATTTCTCTTGCTTCATCCTTGGTTTTTGAAGTTGATTGGGATCTCTTTACAAAAAAAGCAGTGTGACTCCAAGCACAATCCAAAATTTCTCTGTTGCCTGTCTTCATTAACCTATATGGAACAATGGGTGTAGGGCCTGGGTGGGCACCACTGATATGGAACATACAAAAGAAGAACCTAAACCCCATTTCATATCATTTCAAAACATAAGAATTCCTTTAGACATTATGAAAGCAAAATTATAATTTCTGAAAATAAGAGAGTTCCTGATAATATAAGAATGGTGAGGTGATGTTATATAAGATAAGGTATTTCTACCAGCTGGTAGGGTACTTAAATTCAGATTCCAAGGAAATAAAAAAATTACTGCCTGGAATGTTTGTGTTGATTTTAAAAATAAATTCCAGGTGTTACACATGTGGTACTTGTTAGTTTGTACAAAGATAAATACTGGTAGAGATAGTAGTGAATGAATAAATGATAAAATGAATGAATGAATAAATATTGATAAAATGAATGAATGAATAAATATTGATAAAGTGAATGAATGAATAAATATTGATAAAGTGAATGAATGAATAAATATTGATAAAGTGAATGAATGAATAAATATTGATAAAGTGAATGAATGAATAAATATTGATAAAGTGAATGAATGAATAAATATTGATAAAGTGAATGAATGAATAAATATTGATAAAGTGAATGAATGAATAAATATTGATAAAGTGAATGAATGAATAAATATTGATAAAGTGAATGAATGAATAAATATTGATAAAGTGAATGAATGAATAAATATTGATAAAGTGAATGAATGAATAAATATTGATAAAGTGAATGAATGAATAAATATTGATAAAGTGAATGAATGAATAAATATTGATAAAGTGAATGAATGAATAAATATTGATAAAGTGAAATGATGAAT